AAATAAATAAAGTCCAGGGTTTTTGTCTCTTCTATTCCCAGACATCTCTCTCTTAGGTTTATCGAGTTGAAGTGATTGTGAAATTATTTTTTTCCTTTTTGTTTTATTTTTACCATATAAACATACCTGTTGCACTCTACTGAATGCTTATGCAACAATACAGTGGTCAAGGATAATATTGCATCATAATGCATTTAAATTTTCTTTAGTTATACACATTCAGATGTTAAATAACATAGAAAATATCAGTCAATAAACACATAAAGTGTTCTTCTAATGAAATCTTAGATATCCCCTTTTATCCTGAGCTTCAAACCACTATAATAGTTTTATACATTGTATTTATGTCTGTATTCCTCATTAATAACCGTTAATCGTGTGTTCCATTAACAGTCAGTCTCCAGAAAAAATTAAGACTAAGCTATTAAAATATGTGTGGGATAATGGCAATTATATGAATAATTAAAGCTAATATATTTTCAAATTCAGTGAGTGGCTTTTAGCACCTGTCTAGAATCCATTCTTTTACTAAATGCATTGCTTTGAAGCAAATATTTTTATGAAAAATGTTTTATGATAAGGGTTTGATAGTAATGTTAAGTCTTGACTGGTAGATAAGTTTCTTTCTTCAAATAGAAAATCCAGGTGAAATAAGAAATACTAACAAAAAAGCAGATATTCCTATTATACAGATAACTACTAAGACTTAAGGAAATTAAAGATTATATAGTTAGAATTTAAGTTATATAAAATAATTAGGCATGTTATAAAATGACTTATTTACATTTCACCTCTTTTTACAAGAGACCTGAGATTTCACAGCAGACTTATGACCACTCTGTAAGAGGGGCACCTGCGTGGCTCAGTGGGTTAAGCCTCTGCCTTCATCTCAAGTCATGATCCCAGGGTCCTGGGATCAAGCCCTGTATTGGGCTCTCTGCTCAGCAGGGAGCCTGCTTCCCCTCTCTCTCTCCGCCTAGCTCTCTGCCTACTTGTGATCTCTCTTTCTCTGTCAAGTGAATAAATAAAATCTTAAAAAAAAAAAAAGACAACTCTGGTAAGAAACATGAAAGTAGGAGAAAAGGGAGAACACCCCATAGGGCAACTAAGATAAAACAAAACTGGAACTTAAGGTCCTTTTATACTATATATTAAGTGGTATCAAATTTTATTTCTGTAATAGCTTTTCCCTGGGTTTCTCAAGGCTGTCCTATGACATTTGAAAGAGAAATTAAGTTTGTCTTGCATTTTCTGAAATTTTATATTGGTAGGATATACTCAGCCTGCAAGGAAAGACTTACATTGGTGTCCAGAAAATCCTGCATTCAAAATAGAAATAATAATTTCCATAATAAAACTTGAGAAAGAGTAATAGAAAAGCCAAGCATCAAATTTCAGTTAAAAATATGTAATTAAAGTCCAGAATTCAAATACTTACTTGATAGGATAATTGTATATTTATAAAATAGAATGATAAACAAATGATGTTTCTAGAGAAGGATAATGGGAATTTGTACTCTGTGACAATAATTCTAAGAGAAAAGTTTCATGAGCTCTCCATATGTCTGTTCATTTAAATGCTGACTAGTTAACAGAATATACTGAATTTAAAAGGGCAAATGTTATTATTATATTCATTAAAGTGTTTTTTTTCCCAAGCTGTACCATTTAAAAATCACCCAGATTAGTTTAGATGATATTATTGTCTTACTCAATTTGGGCTGCTATAACAAAAATGCCATAAACTGAGTGGTTTATACGTAAGAGAAATTTATTTCTCAGTTCTGGAAATTGAATTCCAAGATCAGGGTGCCAGCATGGTAAGGTTCTGATAAGGGTCTTCTTCCAGGTTGCAGACTGCCAAACTGCTCTTTTCTCATTGTACCCTCAAATGGTGAAAAGGGAGCTAGAGAATTTTCTGGAGTTTTTTTTTTTAATAAAGGCAATAGTCCCATTCCTGAAGCCTCCACCCTCATAACCTAATTGCTTCTCAAAGACCCTATCTCCTAATACCATCACATTGGATGTTAGGATTTTAACATATGAATTTTGGAGGGGCACAAACATTCAGTGACAGTCCGTAGCATTTATAAAACATATGGTATATGTTTATATTATATTTATATATATGTATGCATGTATGTATATATATAATATTATATATAGCATATAGATAGCATATGACATATGCTATATGTATATATTATATCTCAATTAAATTAACATATTATATATGTACACATACTATATATTTAATACATAAAGAAGGAAAAAGTCCACTATGTATTAAGTACATAGTGAACAAGCCCACCCTCAGGAGTCCATTAAAGCTGGGAAGGTAAATAAAATATATAAAGTCAGAAGCAGGCATACAGAAGATGACAGAATCACAATTCCAAAAGATTTTATTAGATATGAATCATAAACTAGATCTAACAAGATGTAATTTAAAAATTAAAAAACTATTTGTTGTACTCAGATTTCTCTAAACAACTATAAATTTATAGGAAAAGAAAAACATAACTTACATGATATGAGAAGTCAGCTCCTGTGTCCAAAAACAATTGTATTTATCTTTTAAAACCACAGCACCTGACCCAAAGTAGATCTTTAATAAATACCTATTGAACTCATTTGGATCATGTTTAGAGAATGTTGTCAGTACTAGGCCTCAGGAGTGTCAAGAAAGCATGTGACTTCAAAAAAAAAAAAAGTTAATGGGACCTTCCAATACATATATTGGTAGAAAGAAAAGTTTATAATCTTGCTCAGTTTTTATCGGTTATGCCAACTTAGGGCACTGTTTTTAGCTTTGGAGCTCTACCTTACGAACAGAGAACTGACATACAAAAAAAAAAAAAGTAGAAGAAGAAGAACAGATGTACAAACTATAATGTGAATAGAAAAAATGGAAGCCTACTAAAAAAAACAAAACTATACTTTATAAGAAATAGCCAAAAGAAGCTGATATTTAACTTGTGGAAGAGACTACTTTGTTATTTTCAGATATACGAAATGGAGTAATAAGCTATCATTTATTAAATAACTAGTATTGTATTGTATACCTTATTTAATCCTGCTAACACACCTATAAGGTATTATTAACATTTTTTTACTGATAACAAAACTGTCACTCAGTGAGATAAAGTAACATATTCAAACTCACACAGCTAAATAGTTATGAATCCAAAATTCACAAAACTATTTGAGCCCAAGTCCAGGGCTTATTACATTATCCTTATTTGTCTTTCACATGAAATAAGCTTAAACTGATTCTATGTGTCCTCAAGAGACTAAATAATGTCAGACAGATTTCAGCTCAATGTGTGTGAGGTCGTATACTAGTTCATACGAGAATATGTGGCAAGGTATTTTTATTAGTCCTTAGGAGATCTTTATGAACTTTTACTGATGAATTTATACCTTTAGTGTAAAAGGATAAAAATAATGTTGAAAATCGGTAAAGTAACCTATGATTAAGGGAGTTTACCTGTGAGTTATCTGTTTTCAAGAAAATGGTAGAAATAATATGGGAATTAAATGTTCTTTCCAAGCTCCCTAACCCACTTCTCTTCCTGTTCCCCAAGAGTGTTGTTTTCTACAACCAATTGGGGATATCTAATACCAATGAATATTGTTAAAAGATATATACATATATATACATATATACATGCACAAATACAGTTATGAGATTTACCTCACAATTAGTGTTAATTTACAAAAAAATAAAAAAATAAAAATAAACAACAACAATCAAAAGATCTTAACCCTGGTTGATTTACAAATTTATTTCCAAAATTGAAGTATTTGGGGTCTTGGAAGTTAGGTATCAAATTTTAAAATGTATCAATATTCCCCAACTTTGTGTGGGCCACTCCAGTTCCAGATGTTCGCGAAATTCCTCCTGGAATCTCTACACTAGGAAACAGACTAAAATAACGCAAATGTCTGATTTTGAGAACTGCTACTGAGAAGTTCATGTCCATGTGGGAAGTCTGTCAATAAAAGGGTAATAAACAATTCTAAATGGATCTTTGAGATTTAAGATGTGGAGGCTCACCATTATTTTTGGTTGGCTTTCCGGATGCCACAACCCCCTGATTTCTGTAACAAGCTCTTGTGCCTCGTCTCCACCAAGACAGAAATCAGGTGTAACCAAAACTTCTACTTTAAGAGAAATTAGGGAAATGTGGAATGAAAGGAACAGGTTTCCTACACAAAAGTTGTTTCTCACTTCTTTTTTCAGAGACAGGACCACTTTTTTTTTTTCCAGACAGGTTTGAAGGGTTGAAAATTCTCATTTAGTGATGTAAAAAACATGGTTACTTTTGAGTGTACGTGCAGGACTGAGGCAAGGAAAAGGCAAAGAAAAGGAGTTAGTGTAACCTGTCCCGAATGATTTCAGCAGACTGGAGGGCTGGAAGAGCGATGGGATGTAAGGATTGTCCCGGTTGCACCAGGCCAACGTCTTTCCTTTCATATCACACAGAGAAAACGGAGCTGGGAAAATAGACCGATGTCAGCCCCCTTTCTTTTGCTTTACTGCTGCCAAGAACTAACTCTCTGTCTCCCCCGCCCCTTCCCTCCAACTCCCTTCCCCATTCTGCCCCTCCTTAGTGGTGTTTGCAAGGACGAGTGCCGAATGGGGAGGCAGACTAACTGGTCGGATTGCTTTGCGCAAAATCCACCCCTTCTCTCTCCTCCCTCCCCTCCAGCCTCCGGATCCCGCACAGCCCTCCCTCCCCTCCCCATAGCGGTGTGAGGTTGAGGATGTGTCTGTACTACTAAGGCGGAAGGGGGCTACAAGCAGTGGATAATGTCAGATCCCCCCTCTCCCATTCTACCTGACGCTCCTCTCTGGCTACACCAGGGCTGATCTCTGTAAGAAATAGCAGGAACTGTGGCAGCGGCGAGAGGAAGCGGCCGAGACGCATGGAACCTGGAAAAGTCTGGGTGCTCGGGTTTACCTCATAGCGAGGTCCCGGCCAGCCGTCAGCACCATGGACAGCAGCACCGTCCCCACCAACGCCAGCAATTGCACTGATCCCTACACGCACTCTTCAAGTTGCTCCCCCGCACCTAGTCCCGGTTCCTGGGTCAACTTCTCCCACCTAGATGGCAACCTGTCCGAACCATGCGGTCCGAACCGCACCGCGCTGGGCGGGAGCGACAGCTCGTGCCCTCCGACCGGCAGTCCTTCCATGATCACGGCCATCACCATCATGGCACTCTACTCCATCGTGTGCGTGGTGGGTCTCTTCGGAAACTTCCTGGTCATGTATGTGATTGTCAGGTAAGGAAGGCGCCAGGACTCCCACCAGAGACTTCAGCAGCTAATAGGGCATAAAGGGACACCTGACCCCCAAGGCAGTGTTTGGCGGGAGGATGAGAGAAGGGAGGTGAATAAGGGGATGACGATGAATAGAGTGGTTATTGTGAGTGCAAAAATTCACTTTTCGATTTTCCCTTCCACTGTTAAAGAAATCAAAAATTTCAGTAGCAGAGAAGTTGCCTTGGTAGAAGATGTAAAGCTCTGGGAGAAACAAAAAATTATATATATATATATATATATATATATATCTAAGACAGAATATATATATATATATGCTCTGTCTTAGAGCTCACTTACACTGAGCCAAGAGGGTTCTTGGGCACAGAATCCCACAGTCCCTTCCACAGGAGCTGTGGAAATGGTAATTTGTGAATAATGGAAGAGGAATTCTAGTTAGGTTTCCTGGTGAGAGGGCCAAACTCCTTCTCAGTTCTTTTCAGACGTGAACCTTGGCAACTTTCCTATCCCTGCTGGCTTACCTGTACTTTACTGCACCATACCACCACCCCCATTTGCTTGTCACACTTGTCCTTACCCCACGGTTCCTTCTATCCTGAGGACACACTCAGTGAGAAAGTTTTTCTGGTGTCTTTCTGCAGTAAATAGTGTTTTGTAGTAACAAATGTGACAGTTGTGTTGCCTAGACCATTTTGCAGTTGGCAGCTGCCAGCTCTGCTAGGGGAGTCACAAACTGAATTGGGCATAGACAGTGTGTTTCGGGAGAAATGCAGAGCATGACTGTTTTCCAAATCCTCTGAAAGCGGAAGCCAATTAGAAGTGACCAAAAGCGCATAATTCTGGATTAAAACTATTATATAGGAAGTTACAGTGGTTGCTCTGGGAGGAAAATCTGTCTTTATCCATGAAATTATTTCAAGATTTTGTGTCCCATTTTCTGTTTACCTAGATGCTCCAGGTTTATTTGGCAAAGAGTGTGCAAGCTTTCAATATTAACTGTGTTAGTGTTGGCGTGCATATTCAAGTCCTAATGATAATAATTGAATACTATATATGCATTTCTGTTAAGGTAGATAAATATTTTAACACTTTAAAATGATTTCGAATTTGAGATGTTCTTCCTACTCAGGGTTATATGTATGTAGAGAACATGGCAATTTCATACTTAGTTGCAATATTTTTCATCTATTCAGCAAGTATTGCAGGTTTTAATGGAGTTCCTTAATCATTTAACATTCATTTTTCCTATTATGCTTTCATGATCAAGTTCTGCGAGTTGTTTGTAATTGATTATTTCTTGTATGTCTGATTGCCTTAATTAATGATTGTTAAAGAATAAAACTAATTTCTCTAATCTTTTGATGAGGAATAAGATAAATAGTGTCTCTGAGAAAAGAGCACCATCTATTGAGAAGAAGGCTAACAACAGAAGGGAAAATGCAGGAAGGAAATCAATAGAATTTATTTTTTTAAATATTTACCATGTATAATGTAATACAAAGACTCCTATCAAAGATAAAAACCCAGTCTTACTTACCTTTTTAATAAAAATCATAATTAAAGGTCTTCCTTATGAAGAGAAAATATGTTTCTCATTTGTCCTAAGAATATTCATAGATTCATAAGCTGATAGGGCTAGAAGGGAACCTAGAGTTTACCTATGGTAGATGAGTAAACTGAGGCACAGAAAGTATTAATGATTTATTCAAGGACAGTAGTTCATTAGTTCAGTAACACTGTATTAGTTCAATATAATATCTATCTAAGCCAATATAATTTTCTTGTTATTAGAGTGGTAAATCATGATTTGAGTTAATTCAACTAAAATATTGCAAAGTGGATTTGATTAGCAGTAGTAATGTGGAAATAATAAAGTACCCCAAATTTATGTCTGGAATCCTGGAGAATAAATGATGAAGAGAGATTACCGAGGTCTCTAGAAATCCTGCTGTCTGAAACATAACCCTTTATTCCCTTTTATTGCTTCTCCTGGTATTGTCCTTCCTTATTTTTCTCCCCTCTAGCTTATGCTTTTCTATAAAGAGAGAGCCGATAAAGCAGCAACTGGCTGTGAAATAAGATTGGTCTTATTTCAGTGTTTAAGTGATTGCTGGTTGATTTTCTTTTAAAGGCATTACCTCTGACCTCTTGATGACTTGGAGAAGCATAGGGACATTGCGTCTTATTAACAACATGACATTATGCTTTACTTCTCTTTACCGAAAGTTGGAACAAAATGCAGTCTGATTTGAAAGGTCACCCCAAATATCCACCTATGACAAGTTGGGTGTTTAATTCCATAGTCAAGTAACCCTCTGGGAATATGACAGTGAAACAGAAAAATGGACAATTTAGTGACCAATGAAGTAGTGAAGAAAACATTTGGGGATTGAATAAAATATGTTTATTTAGCTTGGAATATTTAACTGGACTATCTCCAGGCTGTAGTGTTTTCACTACAAAATAATAGTTCAGAGATATTATTGTCCCTGTTAAAAAGATGACTATAATGCTACATCTTATTGAGGTGAAATGCTTACTTCCTGCTATTATTTAAAATTCAACAAATACTTTTGAATGATCAAGTGCAGTTAATGGTCAAGTTACAGTCTTCTATCCAGATTAAGGTGATATTTATTAGAACGTTTTAATACATCAAATGAATTATGAGTCTCAGATGACTATAGCAACCAAAACAACAACAAAAGTAACCGGCAATACAGATGCCATGATTCATACTTTTTTTGCTCTATGTCTCAACTCCACCATCATCATACCGTCATCAACAACATTATTAAATAGTATTAACTTAAGTAGAATTCTTACACTGTGCTATTCTAAGGAACATAAGGGAGGAAAAGAGATACTATCATATGATCCAAAGATTTAAAATCTAGATGTTAAATGATTAAAATATTAAAACTATTCACCACATGGAAACTTTTTCAGTTTTAAAGAAAAAATATTACTTGCAAGATAACATTATTATAATAATTTAATAATAAGATAATAATATTATATTAATAATAATAATAATAAATATTATAAAAATTACCATAGATTCTAAAGAATATGGAGATAAAATATTATACAATTTAGCAATTATTTCAAATGGGATGATACTTTATTACTGTCAAGACTGTTTACTAGGGGCACCTCACTGACTCAGAGAGTGGAGCACACAACTCTTAATCTTGAGATTGTGAGTTCAAGCCTCACGTTAAGTGTGAACATTACTTAAAAGTCAAATTTTTAAAAGAAATAGAATTTTTTTTAAATTAACCAAAATAGTACACAAAGTTATAGCAACCAGCATGCTTCACTTTGTGAGAACACTTGACCCAAGTATAGAATTAACCATAAATTTAAAAAATGATATTGTCACACATGTATTTATTTTGTGATATAGTCTTCCAAGAATTTGTTCATATAGTCATGAATATGGCCTATGCACACACTATTTTAAAAAAGTAAAGGGTTGGAAACCATTAGATCTTTATGAGCTGTGTAAACCATCCTTCCCAATAAATTACCAATGAAGAGTGCCCAATATTGTCTTCATTTTTCAGATTATTTCTTTTTTTTTTTTTTTTTTTTTTTTAAGATTTTATTTATTTATTTGTCAGAGAGAGAGGGAGAGAGAGCGAGCACAGGCAGACAGAATGGCAGGCAGAGGCAGAGGGAGAAGCAGGCTCCCTGCAGAACAAGGAGCCCGATGTGGGACTCGATCCCAGGACGCTGGGATCATGACCTGAGCCGAAGGCAGCTGCTTAACCAACTGAGCCACCCAGGCGTCCCCAATTTTTCAGATTATTTCTTATATGACTAGATGAATTCTTAATATAACTAGTTATCAGAGCAGAGCATTTAAATATATGCAAGATTTTATTGTCATTTTTCTTTCACTAAAAAGTACTTCTCATTTTAAAACACTTGTTCTATATACTAAGTATTTGATTCAGGTTTAAACTATGAAGTGATCAGTCATGCCTGATTGGAACAGAACTACAAGCTTTTTTACTTCATATATAAGTTGCTGGGAAAATAAGGAATAACAATATTTTTTGTAAGTTTATATATGTTGTATTTATATATATACATCTATCTACAAATACATATATACATATGAATTAATTTCAGTGCTTATGTCCCTGAATATGATCACTAGTAATTTTTATAAAATAAAAGTTTTTTATTTAGAAAGCTCAAATACCAATAAAGCTCACTCTTTTTTTTTAAAGATTTTTTTTTATTTGACAGAGAGCAATCACAAGTAGGCAGAGAGGCAAGCAGAGAGAGAGAGAGAGAGAGAGAGGAGGAAGCAGGCTCCCTGCTGAGCAGAGAGCCCGATGTGGGGCTCAATCCCAGGACCCTGAGATCATGACCTGAGCCGAAGGCAGAGGCTTAATACACTGAGCCACCCAGGCACCCCTCACTTTCTTTTTTTTAAAACTATAAAATATCCTAGTTAGAGGTTGGATTCAAAGGGAAAAAAGAAAATCTGTCTTTGACATAATGGTTTACATGAAAACATAAGAATTTAATTATATTCCTTTTACTTCACAATGGAGAGCTTCTAGTATCATCTATTACAATTTCAACTTTAACTGCTGTTTCCCACACAGGTGCTAATTCTATCAGAACAGTTTTCTCCCGTGTGTCCTGAAAACAAAAGTTACTTTTCATTTCCTCAACTGAATGCTATGTCTGTCATTCACATAGTGTTATCAATCAGTTTCTTTTCCTTCTCGTCTTTCCTTCTTGAAAGAATGAGCTATCTTATATTTTATGTAATATTTCCAACATAAAGGAATGTATAGAGAGTAATAGAAGATTCTTCACCTTTTAAAATTATATATAATAATTATATATATTTATAATAATTATATTATTTATTATATTTATTAATTAATATTATTCATTATATTTATTAATAATTATATATACTAGTAATATATGTTATATATAATAACATCCATTATTTATGTATATTATACAATATG